TGTGTGTGTGTGTGTGTGTGTGTGTGTGTGTTCGTCTGTACCGATTTTTCATATCGAGACCAACAAAAGCTACGGGGCTGAAATTTTGGAAATTTAATCTACCTGCATGTACGGGCCGAAGGCCCCAAAATGGACGCTTTTACCCGCGAGGTGCCCATTCACGAGCCTGCCAAATTTTTATACGGGTAAGCTGCTAACTCGGGAACCAAAAGAGTTGGGAGGCTGAAATTTTAAGAGGGCGTTCCCTGTCCAAATAGTTATTGATGAGCTCAAGCCCAGCTTCATGGTAAGTTTGGTGCCCACGGACGGGCCCGTCAAATTTCTTTTCGGCTAAGTTGCTAACTCGGGAGTCTGAAAAGCTAGGAAGCTCAAATCTTAAAGAATATTCCCCGTCCAGGTGAGTATTAATGGGCTTAAACCCTGCCCGTGGGTGAGCGTGGTTCCTACCTACTGGCCCGTGAAATTTTTTTTGGAGTAAGTTGTTAATTCGGGAATCTGGGAAGCTATAAGACTGAAATTTTGAGGGGATATTTCCTGACAGTCCTGGCGGCCAGTCTGAAATTCTTTTAGCTAGAAGCATCTGCCGAAAAAAAACAGTGCTGTTTGTAGTAAAAATCTGTGGGGGGTTATGCAAAAAACGCATTTTCGCACGGGCAGCCGGTGCTCTAGTCAATTATTTATGTGTTTGATAAAAATGAGACCAAATTTAACATTCCTCCGCATATCCCTGGCACCGAAAAGCTCTATTTTGAAGTTGACATTTCTGTCGTTCAGCTACCAGTATCGAAACTTGTGTATCAATATTTATGCACACACATACATGTAAAACGCATTTATGCATGCTCATATTTATATATAATTACTCATGTTTATATTCGTGTACACCTATATTTATTCATATTTTCATGCACTTTTATATACTTACATATATTTATACACGTTCATACATATATATATTAATAAATACTTATGCATACGTTTTAGTAAGTCTAAATATCCTTATATTCATGTATGTGCACTTGTATATGTTTGTATGCATTAATATACTTGTGCATATTTATATACATTTACATTTGTTCATGCATTTTTAAATTTTCATACATATGTATATTTATATAAATTATGCACATTTATATACACTTCTACATATTGTCCGGAAATAAACACATATTTAATTTGTATATTTGTATATTTACATTTATCTATAAATATTTGCACACATATATATATACATATATATATATATATATATTTGTTCGTGTTTTATATGTTCGCGTTTTTATGCGTTTTTGCATATATGCAAGTGCGAAAAGGCATCTTGCGACGACCCCGGTGTCCGTGTATG